TGAAACTAATTTCTAGACAATGTTGTGACAGTTTACGGAGTCTTGCTGGACCCTTGTAGAAACTAACCGGAATCTATGTCGGGACAGTTTACAGAGTCTTGTCGGACCCTTAAAAAGTCGCACCCTCAAAAGGTGTGCCCAATCTTTCAAAAAAGGCGTGCCATTAAAAGGCGTGCCCAATTCATCAAAAGGTGTGCCGGACATGATGGCGAGGCACGTGGGCGCCTTGGCTTGCGTGCCCGTTTGTCGGCTGGTGATAAGAGGCGCGCGATGCGCGTGGCTGCCTCGGCTATAAGACAGAGGCTGAGGCTGAGGCAGAGAAAAGCTGCGAAAAACCTCTGAAAAAACAAAAACTCTTCTTCGTTTTGCTGAGAGAGATAGTTCGTAACACTTTGTTGTCTGAGAGAGATTTCTGAGAGAGATACTCTGTAATACTCTGTGGCCCAGAAAATGGCTTCATCTTCCCGGAGTCTGCACACTCTCTTTCCCGACCTCAATGGCTGCTCACCCTCTTTCCCGACCTCAACGAGTCAACGAGAGAGAGAACTGGTGAGGTGGCACTGGAAACGCAACCAAGCGCCCCGGAGTTTGCTCCGTTGAACTTTCCGATGCGGTCGGTGGAGCAAAGAATGGCAGTGCAGTCAAATGTGGAGGCCAATCAGTATACTTTGAAGGCATGTGTGGAAAGCATGACGGCGGTCACAAACTTGTCGCACCGGCTGCAGAGTAGGGCAAATGAGGTGCAGCATTTAAACTCCCAGCTGGCTCTGCTCCAACGCATGTATAAGGATGCGCGAGCAGAGATAAGGAGCTGAAGCGGAAGGCCACCGTGATGTTCCGATTTGGAGGTCCGCCATATGCTGCAGTGGAGGAGCAGGGAGTAATGATCATGCCCAGTGGAGTGAGAAATACGGAGGCAACACCGGCAAGGGCCGCCCAGGACGGAGGCAAGAAGAAAAGACCGGCGGCAGAGTAGAGAAGAAAATCCTGCCTGTGGATGTGGTTGATTGGTTGCTGTTGTTTGTTTTTTTGTTTTTTTTGTTTTTTTGTTTTTTTGTTTAGTGGTGTAAAATTTGTGATCGGGGTTGAGCCCCCGAAATGAATAAAATGACAAGGTGATGGAATGTTGTTGGTGGGATTTTGTGAATGGTGTTTTGTGTAATAAGAAAAATAAAATAAAATAAAACAATGGATAAAGAAAATAGAGAAAAATATTTGTGGATGGGGGATAAGAAAAACAGCGGTGTATGTTTTTTTTTTTTTTTTTACCATGTTCGTCGGATGGAAGTTCGTCGGATGGAAGACAAAAAATAAAAATAAAAATAAAAAAAATAAAGTATAAAAGAAAAGAAAAGTGAAGAGAAGTGTGTGAATGTGAAAGTAATAAAAAAATAAAAAAGAAATGGGAGATTTAAAGTTGTGGGCGGGTGTGTTGGTTGTTTTATAGATGGAGTAAAAAAGTTGAGTGGGGAACATGAGTGTGTGGAAAGAATGAAAAAAGAAAAAGGATGGGTTGGATTTGTACAAAATAATAATAAAATAAATGAGTGGAGAAGGTTGGAAAAGGGAAGAGAAAAAGAAAGAAAGCTTGGCAACATCAATGGGAGTTTTTCCATCCATCTTCACCAGAGGCCAGTGCATTCTTCAAGCCCTCCACATCACCAACACTCACGGCTTTGAAGAGACCCACTTTCCAGAACTTCGACCACTGCAAGCACTCCACCTTCTTCAGATGTCAATGCTGTTCTGCCCTCATCAAAACCCACTAAAGATTCCATAAGTGCAGTTTGCAGGTTTTGAGGACGTGAAGACCGGTGAATCGGCGGTTTCGACGATCGTGAATCTCGCTGAAGAGGCTAAGTTCGCGAGAGAAGGTGTTAAGGCTCCGAGCTATGCGATTCTCAGTATCTGCAAGTCTCTCGTCGCCGGAGGAGTAGCCATAGGCGTATCACGCACTGCTGTAGGCCCACTGGAACGATTAAAAATTTTGCTTCAGGTACAAAACCCACATAACATAAAGTACAACAGTGGGGGTAGATGAAGGGACTGCAGCGACGGGTTAAGGTCAACAGTGGGGTTAGATAAAGACGACCGAGACGGTGGTGTATGGGACTGAAGGGCTTGTGCGAGGTCAGAGAGTTCTTAACACTGGTTCTCGAATCACTGTACCTGTGGGCAGGGCCACCCTTGGTCGTATCATGAATGTTATTGGAGAGCCTATCGATGAGAGAGGCGAAATCAAAACCGATCACTTTTTGCCTATTCATCGAGAAGCTCCTGCCTTTGTTGATCAAGCAACTGAACAAGAGATCCTTGTTACTGGAATCAAGGTGGTTGATCTCCTTGCACCATACCAAAGAGGTGGAAAAATTGGACTATTTGGTGGTGCTGGTGTAGGAAAAACAGTGCTTATTATGGAACTTATTAATAATGTCGCGAAAGCCCATGGTGGTTTCTCTGTGTTTGCTGGTGTTGGTGAGCGTACTCGAGAGGGTAATGATTTGTATAGGGAAATGAAATCCGGCGGGCGGTCAAGGCAAGGTTGCCGCCCGCCGGAAGGCGAAGAACACCAAGAGCTTAACCTATAGCTCTGATACCATGTAAAATTTGATGTATAGAGAAATAGAGAGAATGAATTATGTATTATTGATTGATATTGATGTGTTGTGTATATTACAATTACAAGGATTCCTATTATATAGGAGTGTGTTTGGGAGTAGGTGGAGAGTAGGTGAAGTGGAGGTGGTAGTGGTGTAGTGGGTTAGGTTTAGTAGTAGGTGTTAAAACAGCCCACCGGCGACCACGACTGTAACGAACACACCAGGTAACAAGCTGGTACATGCCGCAAACGAGACCACCCGTGAGCAATGAAGGGACGACATCGAGGGGTTAAGGTTGACAGTGGTGACAACAGTGAGAAGAGGACAGTGGTGGTGGTTGTTGTTGTTGTTGTTGAATCTGCCATGAAAGAAGAAATTAAGGAAATTTGTGTTTATCCGGCGGACGGCCAAGGCGAGGTTGCCGCCCGCCGGTGAAGCGGAATGACTAAGTTGTTAACCTTGCTCTGATACCATGTAGAAATTTAATGTATAAAGAGAAATAGAGAATTGTATTATTGATTGATTTATGTTTGTTGTGTATATTACAAATGGTGAGTGGCTCATTATATAGGAGAGGGTGAGTGTAGTAGGTGAGGAGTAGGTGAGGAGTAGGTGGTGGTAGGTGATGGTAAATTGGTGGTAGGTGATGGTAAATTCTAACATTATAAATATGGTTATATCTTTCACGGAAATTCAATTTTTGCTTTAATAAAATTTCTCTGTTCTAGTATTTCTTGTGGATTCCATTCTTCTTCTCTTGTGAATTCAAGAGTTACGTATGCCAGAACGATATCTAGGCTGTTTTACACAACATCGCTGCGGCACACACATTTAAAACAATGCTCTCTATGCAAAAATACAATAGAGGAACAGTATGTTTCCCTCAGACACAAGGGTCCTGCATAAATGAAATGGCAAATTGAACACATTGCACATGCTCATGTTTTCTTCATAGGAATGGTTTATGTTAGAATAGGAAATTGTTATAATAGGAAATAATTGTATTTATTCCTTTTTTCCTTTTTTTGTGATTGCTCAGACTATGCCTGTAATTGCTCAATTATCAATATAAAAGGGAATGAAGTCTAATTCATTACCTAATTCCTTCTCTTCTCTAAACCTACAGTTTATGTTTCTGCCTGTTTACTATTTTTGATTTTTGTGTGCTGAACACAACTTCATTTGTGGGTTTGCTTTGTTCCTTAGGATATTACCATGAAGATTATCTCATTTACTAAGCAAGGGCCTCGAGCTATTTGCATCATCTCTGCTATTGGTTTAATTTCAAATGCTACTCTTCGACATCCTGATTCTTCTGGTGCTACATTGACCTATGAGGTATGGTTTCTTTATCTATTTTGAAAGTAGTGTTTCATTATTTTTATTTTTGGATTTAATCACAAAGAGTGCAACTCTTGAATGATTAACAGGATGTTTTTGACCTCTCTGCTACAAGCATACTTCCATATGTTGTAGTACACACTGCACTTTTGAATAGGTCTCATGAAGTAAGTTTTGGACATGAGATTGCATGCTTCATTTATGAAACTTCTGTATGATTAGATAATTTTATGGTTTGATGGAGGAGCTGAATATTTAAAGACTGAGCGGGCATGGTAAAATTTTATTTTGAGCCAATATTTTATTTAATATTTCCTTAAACTGCACAACAGTACCCACAAAAGTCACTATATATGAAATATCTACACATCTCATCACCTTACTGCAAGTTTATGCCTTGCAACATAGTCACTTTCTTCAATGATCTCAGATCCTGCAACTGTTTATTATATGTTTAGGTATGATATGTACATTATCTTTTATTGTAATGTTTTTTTGCCGTCACATTTATGAAAGAAGCCTACAAAATAACAATGATGTAACACGAGAGTCAAATTTTTGAGGAATAGGCTGAGGCTACTATTTGTTGATCAATTATTCTAGACATTGGGTTTCTTCTTGAGTTCGAAGTAGTTTTTCTTTTTCAATCTTCTCTTTTATATTTTGAGACTTACCTAATTTTTTCTTCACTTTTTTCCTATTTCAATCATGAAACCTTCAATTTCGACTACCTCAAGTAAACATTGCAATCCATTCCACTTCATTTTGAAACCAAACCAAACTAAACCAAGCCTTGTGTCCAACTCAAGTGAGATCAGCTACATGAATCTATTTTCGCCATTATGTTCTATCAAGGACTATATGCTCCGTTAAATTAAATAAATTTATATATTATTTATTACTGTATCCCATGATAGTTTAGGTCTTCCCTTGGCCTAAATTTCCATTTTATGGTGATCGTATTACTCTTCCTTACTATTGCAAGCATACGTTTTTGTTGTACATAACTAAATGTCAGACCATATTCTCTCTCAACTTATCTTTATTTGATGTTACTTCTACCATTTCATAAACATATTCTTTTCTAATTATATATTTTCTAGTCTTATCACACATTCATCTAAGCATTCTCATCTCAACTATACTCACCATGAACGTGTTGTTTCTTAGTTGCCAACATTATATCCCATAAAACATCGTTTATGTTATTTTTATTTTATAAAATTTTAATTTTGTTAGTGTTCGTCAATCACATAATATTCCAAACACATTCTTCCATTTGAGCCACCTTACTTTAATTCTTTGAATTACATCATCGTTAACCTTACCATCCTTACTAATAACTGAACCTAAGTAAAGAAAATGTTCACCATTTGTTATCTCCTGTATTTCAATTTGTACTTCTCTATTATTTTTACCTTTAACTGTCACTAAAATTGCATTTCATCTATTCAGTTTTATGTGTACTAATTTTAAATCCTTCGATTCAAGTGCTTGTCTCCAAATTTCTAATTTAGTGTTAATCCCTTCCTTAGTTTCATTTACTAGAACTATATCATTTGCGAACAACATACACCATGTGACATCATCCTAAATGTGTTTAATTAATTCATCCATTACTAAAGCCAATTGGTAAGGATTCAAAGTTGACCTTTGATGTAACCCTACAGTAATTGGAAATTCACTAGTTTTTCCCGCAGGTGATCTAATCGCAGTCACAACTCATTATACATGTCTTTTATCGCATCAACATACCCGTTGGCCACATCACCCAATGCTATTATTACATCACTAAACACTATATCATGAGCTTTTTCTAAATCTATGAAAATCATATGTAGATCTTTCCTTCTCTCTCTCTCTCTATACTTTTCTATTAACCATGTGAGTCGTTTGTTTTCTTTTTTTCCTTCTTTCATTCTAGAATTAACCAAAAAAGAAGCAACCCTTGGTGTACTTTAACCCATGGAACTATAATTGGCTTATGATTTTCCACTCTTAAGAATACTAATCTTAGAATTGCTAATATGTGATATTTAAGATTCGTTGTTTGGACGGGTCATTTCAAATCAAATTCTTACTAAATCTATTTTTTATAATTACAATCTCATATGTGGGATTAGGCTTTAAAATCCAATTTGAGGATTGATTGAAACACAAGATTTGGATTTGAAGGGCTCAAATCGTAATCGCATCCTCTAGGATCCTCAAATTCTCCAACAAAACACATTCTGAAGGAACAAATAGTGACAATTCTTACAACATCCACTATTAATTTATGGTAATTGACATACCTTGATCGAAAGAAGAGTGATTATTTTGCTGTTTTCATCAGCAGACCCATAAATGAAGCGGATTTTGAACTCTAATGATAGTGGTAGTCTCCTCCATCTTCGACACAAAAAGCTAGAAAGGTGAGAAAAACCTAGATGCAACCTGCAGCAAATCCACATCAATGTGAATAGATACTAAAATGAACTGCAAGGTAAAACATTATGGAACAATAGAGGGATTTGACAAAAGAAAGGAAAACTGAAAATCAGATATAAACTGAAATAAGAAAGGAAAACTTTTCAACCCATTTTTCTATAGTTCAGGTTTTAGAGGCTTTTGGGACCCGCTAAGGACCACCATGCTTCCACAGTCGCTGATAAAGTAATTTCACCCTAATGCTTGGTAGCCCTTCTTTGAGTGGTTTTATTTATGCACCATCAAATCTCTTAGTTCACACCATCTCCTCCCTATTTGCTCATTCCACACCACACCTAAATTGAAAAGTTTGATTTTGCCTTAATACACACTACTATTTTTCAAATAATACTAAATAACCTGCTTCTCCATCTCTAGCAAACCCTAACCCTAACCATTGCCACCGCCGGCCGCCACCCCCTCCTCAGCTCATTGCCTTTGGTGGCCCCTAACCCTCCTTTCCTTTCAGCAAATCTCCCTCAACTACGTTGCTCCTCGCTGTCACCCTCCTCCCCCAACCCCACTACTCATCGGCGCCCTCCTCTCTCACCATCGCAATGCCCACCCCTCGCAGCACTGTTATCACAATCTCCTCATAGTTCGGCGATCGAGCCGCCCAACCCCCATGACCTCCCTCGTAGTCAAATGATCGTTCCTCTAATGAGAGAGAGAGAGAGAGAGAGAGAGAGAGAGAGAGAGGTTGGGTGAGGGGTAGAGGTTGATGTGGATGGGCAAGGGAAGGGGGGGAGAGTTGCCAGAAAAGAAAAAGAATAAGAAGGTGGAGGAGAAGGAGAAGGAGGTGGCGGCTAGGGTTAGGGATGGTGGGATGGCTGGTGGTGATGGTGGGGTAGTGTGGATTGAGAAACGGAATGACTTGTGTGAGCAATAAAAATGTATTTGGCTAAAAGAACAAAGGTATAATTAAAAAAAAAATTACAGGGATGGTGTATTGAGAGGATTGACGGTGTGTAAATAGAATTGTCCCCTTTCTTTTAATATTTTCCCTTGGGATGGCTCTTAGTTACTTTTGCAAGAGGGTCTTGCTGTGGTCTAGGAATCCCTCTGTGGGAGGCCCTTTCCATGATTGGGACACTAAACATTACACAAACTTGAATACCAAATTTAAGAATCTGCTTAGCCCTAGAATTGGTGAAACCATTAACCAATGTGTAGAATACTTTGGCATTGTCAAAAGCCACACTTCCTCAATTAAGGAATGAATTTGAATGGCTTCTTT